AGCTATTCGATTACTTTTTAAAATACTGAATTGGCTAATTTTACTATTAGGATTACTGAAATGAAAGACTACTATTCTGAAATAACATAAAATACGCGAAAAACTGCCAACTATACATAAATTGCAGTCGTATTTTTGCGATCTTGGGATTTGTCAAGCTTGATTTTGTTCTTTCGCACTCACGAGCAAGATGTCGCCGTTTAAAAAACAAGAGGTCGGGGCAAAATACGAAAGATTGAAATTTATTTCATTGCATGCGGCTCCGTCGGTAGTTTCAGAATGGAAAAATAGGTACATCGCGCGCACAATTGACTGTGTTTCGGTTTCGCAGTTACTACGACGAATAACCAAAGAAAACCCAACATAACACCAAATTTTTGATTCACAATGTCTATGAACGTGTTTTTAATCTGACGTGAGTCTGCTGAAACAAAACTTATAGTGTTATCTCCCATTTTAAGTTTTAGTTTTAATATTTCAGTATGCCGCTTTTCAATCAAGAAATTTGAGTTGCGGATTTATCTTCTATTATTTATTATTTTTAGCATTTCGTCTCCGGTGACTATGATATGGTAACATGTTTTTCACATTGAACTCATAATTCCCCACGAGAACAAAAAAGCAATACTCGTCGTCATTGTGGAACAATACATCATACATGTATATGTCGAGGAAAATTTTTGATTTAGGGAGAATAAACACCGCCATGCTGACGAAAACAATCGGCGATCGTAACAAAATGCAATCGAGTACGTTATTAGCGGCCTTTTAAGTCTTTCAAAAATATCTAAAGGTAAAAGATCCGACCCCTAATTTATTGATATGTTTGTCAAGTATCAAGTTTACAGCTTTAGTATATATAATTCATCTTTTACATTTAGATTCATTTATGACTTGTATTAACCCTATTAAAAGAGGTTAAGCATTTAAAATAAGTACAGTACTTTTGACTTACTCACGAATATTATTCGGAAAGTAACAATTTTAACATTTATTTTGGGGCTCCGTGAATAATAGTCAACTTTTTCAAGGGCTCCGCAACACAAAAAGTTTGAGAACCCCTGTCGTAGACGAGTGTGAGTTAAATGTATACCTTCCGGTATATTGACGGTGCATTTGCGTATGTACATCAGTATTTCCATATGACCTAAACTATGTGAATGCCAATTCGCCAAAAGCCAAAAGTTTTGCAAATGACATCGAATCTATATTAACAAACAAAGGAAAAAGCAGGATTAATCTGATTGTGAGTAATTTTGAAACCGAAAATTTAAGCATGGCTGTCTTCTTTCAACCAGAGTCAGTCAAAAATAGGTCGAAGAGGAGCGTGCGTGTGTATATATCATAGTTGAGTACGAAATCTCCTCGTCACTTTGCATGTTTACAGTAAATATTGATTGACATAGAACCAAATCATAAATATGTCAACCGTATCGAAGCAGCAGCCAGTAGCATGTGAACACGACAAGGTATTGTGATACTGTATTTGTCATATAAAGATGGAGTACCGATAAACAAATATAGGCAGTAGTGGGATTCAGCCGGTTCGCACCGGTTCTATAGAACCGTCTCAAAGAATTTTATGAGATCAGCGAACCGGTTAGCTTTACTGATTACTGTCAATGTTCTGTTTGTAACAGAACCGGCTGAAAAATATGACTCTGTGATGGAACCGGCTGACAAAAATTTTGAATCCCACCAATGAATATAGGCCTATTCACGGCGGCAAGATAACGAAAGTAAAGTATGATATTAAATAGTGTTGCCAGAATAATACACGCTAACAAGAACGAACCCGCTGTAGGCCTACAGGAAAAGTCAGTTTCACAAATGATACCATAATGGTAAGCATATCTCAAAAAAATTCAAGTTTCAAATTTGCTACAGTTAACAGTTGCAGGTTACATATACATGCCACATGAAGTCTGAATCTTGACTCAACTCTACATTCTTTGCTGTTGAGACAGGGCCCCTTTTGACTATTCAGGTTGCGGACTGTTTTTGTCCCCAATCGATATATATATGATAAATTGTTAATTTCCCCCATCATTATCGACAAGTTGTCCTCGAATTTCTATCATCATTTGTTTTTGATCTTTATGTTAAACATTGTATTTGACTAGGAAATTACGCCCAACAGATTTCGAGTTTTATATTTTAATCCGAAAGTTTGTGTTGATTATTTCTGGTCCTAAACTAAACTAAGATCATCAGCGTTTTGGATTTTTCTGGTTATTCTGTGCTGTTTTTTTGTGCGAGAAATCAAAATGAGTTTTTCCGGTAATGAGCTAAATGTATTGGACTGTAGCCTGGGTTATTTTAAATTCTGCATGTAGAATAAAATTTATAGGAATCCTATAGTCATCGTCTCAAAAAAATTAAAAAATACCTCAAAGTACATATATATATTCAAGATTTAGTAGCTGTGCAAGTGCTTCGTTCCAAATTCAAAACACCCTTGGTAGTGTTAAAGTTTTTGGTGAAGTTATGTACATGCATGTGTAGAGTCCCATTTCATTATGACAAAATGCACGGTGAAACATTCCGACGAGGCGTCAACCCAACAACTTAAAATGTAATCGCACTGGGACTGCCAGCATTTCACGGTGTTGTTATAACGCTACCATAGGGGGCATGTGAGTCGTGGGCCACGAAAAAGGAATGGTAAGCGTGGTAACAGTTTTAACAGTAGTATTGTCATATCCCAGCATGGTTAAGGTAGCAGTTACTTTGATGAATGAAAAAATCCTAATTTTTCCAGGATGTGATAATCCACGGTCCGAATCCGGACCTTTCGAGTATTGGATTTGGACCGCACCTAATTATTTATTTGGGATCAGTAGCCCAACTTTTTGAATTTCCTATTATAAAATGACTTTCATAGTTTTGAGTATATACGAAAAGAACTATAACACCATAATAAACAATTTTAATTTGCTACTAATCATTAGTCGGTCGAAGAAGTGCTCGTTTAAGGATGCCGAAATATCATTTCTGGAAAGACCGGACCCAAATAATTTTGAAGTTTTGTTTGCGGACCTTCGATAAAAATAGTTGAGTAGCCCTGTGATAATCTACCCGTCTTTGAGCTCTGATGAAATCAATACGGGTGCATATTCTGAATCTAACCCTTGATAAGGTTCATATCAAATCTTAACCTTTGATAAACTACACAACTTTGAGTCATGTCGGTGTATTTCTTTTCAAAATCAGTAACAAAATGTTAAGAAATTTAAATTTAGTATTCAAAATATATATCATAAGATAATTATCAATGGCGTTATAGCAAAGTATATATATAATATATAAGTTATAAATTTTGTCTTTTCGGATCATCACATTTCATTGTTTTAAAACACACATTTCGCAGTACTTCACTAATATGTAACCCTTTCCTCTTAGTGGGTCATTTTTGGCTGCCATAGCTCTTTTCGCCTCAGTGCTGTGTCGTCTTCTCAGTGAGGCTCATCACTTTTATTTTGTTTTCACTTACTCATTTTATTGGAAGCGTGCACTTGCTTTGAGCAATTCTGAACTTGATGTGGGCATGGGGGAAATTTTCAACCGAATATTTTGTGTGAAAACAAAAACAGCACATGATCGGAATACGTGGTCGAAGAGTAGAATTATAATGTGTTGAACGCTAATATGATGTGATGCTCTGATTTGAAAAGTAAAACGAATAAATATATTTCAAAAGAGAGTCTTCTTGTCAGATTTCTTGTTAAAAGCGAACATTTCAGTAATCCTGATGCAATACATTTATCATTTATTTGCCGTAACGTTTTCTCATCCTTAGAAGTTGATAATTGTAACCTACAAAAAGTGAGAGATGGTTGTAGCAGGAATCGTTCATTCTTTATTTAGTTTGAATGCAATAACTTACGGTAACAAATTGGCGGTGGATTGGACCAGAGTCCAGTATATCGACATTTTGCAGCTTTGTATCCTTTCATTCTAAATCCTTTCGGACACGCAAAGTGAGTTATTTCTCCTTCGTGATAGTATTGTTTATATGGAGATGTCATCTTACATTTCACGGGCAGAACGGGAGCTTTACAATATGCTGGTTTTCCTAAAGTATATATAGATAACGTGAACAAAAACAAAGATTTAGGAGTAAAGTGAGGAAGGTTAAGTATTTAAATAATAAAAAAAGTATTTAGTTGAGATTTTATATTGCATTCAGAGCCATAAAATAATGCGTTAACCAAAGTGTTGAAATCACAATCGGCTTCATATCTTTTGACCCGTTCGACTGAAATCCTGAATTTGAAGATATGTAATTTTTTCTAGTTGCAGAAAAAGAAGAACTTAGTATGATTTGACAGTCTGGACTACGTATTTTAAATTTAAGATAAAAAAAAAATAATTACAAAAGAGAGCAAGTTACAAGTTTCTTTATAACATAATAATTCATAGCCGTTTTTACGACATACAATCGACTCACTATGGCAAGTAGGTGGTACGTTGTCCCATTTCCCTTCATCGGAACAAGTTGCATATTTGTGTCCTTTCATCTCATATCCTCTGGGGCAAACAAAGTTTATTTTGTGACCTGAGCTCCATGATTTTTGAAATCTTGGGAAATACGAACAATGCGGTGGAAATTTCGGAAGTAAGCATGTATAACCTAAAAAAATGAGTGAAAAATGAAAGTGAATGAATGAATATTGCTGAAAACGCATTTCAAAAAGCTTAAATTTGTCAATCAATAAATTAGATGTATTTGAAATACTTACGAATACAACGAGGTGTTGGATTGTCCCATTTTTCTCCTTCGATGCAAGTTGCATGGTCAGCTCCCACCAATGAAAAACCTTTTGGACATATGAATTTTATTGTGTGCCCGATTTTGAAATGTTTACCAAAGGGCGGTAAATATGAACCATACTTTGACATATGTGGTGTATGGCACATTTCTCCTGCAAAATAAAATAAAAATATAAGAATAGTATATCAATTTTCCACTACATTCAGAGTGGAATCCTTTTCAATCATCAGTTCAAATGAATGTTAAGATTTTGAAACTTACGTCTTTTGCACACTGGTGGGCTGTTATCCCACAACCCACTGTCCTGACACGCAGCCTGAGTTTCTCCCTTCAAATCGAATCCGCTGGGACAGAAAAAAGTAATTTTGTCTCCAACGTTCCAGGATTGTTGACGAGCCGGGGCGTATCCACAAAACGGTGGTACCGTAGGTAGATAACATTGTGTTGCTGCAATGAATTTGCACGATTATCTGATTTGAGGTACAGGTAAATAGCATTTGATTATATGTTCTGGATTGATGTTTATAACTCTTAAGACAGCGGGTTAGAGTGAGCATGAAAAGTGGTATTAGTGGCAAATTTGGTGATTCGCGAAAAAGATTTTCCCGCAAAAATTTATTCATTTTGGAAATTCTTTTAGCAATATTTGTTGTAATCTCGATATATAATTTTGTTGACTAATCGCAAAACCGCAGGAACAATCAGCAAGTTTTCGATAATAAAGTATTGGTCAGAGCCTCGCAGATGAAACGAGATCAAATACAGCATAACTCCAAACCTACGTTTATAACAAGTTGGCGGTTGACTGCTCCAGATTCCACCTTCGTTGCACTTAGCGTACGAATCACCTTGCAACACGTATCCAAACGGGCAATAAAACTTAATTTTTTGTCCAACATACCAAGAACGTTGATATCGAGGGGAGTAACTACAGTACTGCGGCATCGTTGGAACATGACACAATGTTGCTGAAACAAGTAGAAAACTTGATATGTGTTTTCATTGTGGTAATTAATCATAATTTACCTTAAAAAGCGCCACTGGTGACCAATATAAACGTACCTACTATCAAGTAATTTTACTTACGTGGTTCACAGGTAGGCGGTGAGTTGTCCCATAACCCATCTTCTAAGCATGTAGCATAACTATGGCCTAGCATCTTGTATCCATGGGGACAATGGAAATGAATTTTGTGTCCAACCATCCAGGAGGTTGCGTGAATTGGATAGTATGTACAATGTTCTGGCAGATTCGGAACAGCGCACGTTGGACCTGAAAATGGAGTACAATATTTGTGGTGATCATTCAAATAATAACAACTCTTTGTTGTTCATAAACTATACAGCGATAATAATGGGTGAGCGCTAAATTGTGATTGTGGCACCGCGGTTCAGAGATCTAGATGGTTTGATCAGCCTCAATCAGCCTGAATCTAAGATTAACTTATTGGTAAAAGATCCGTCTTAAGATTAAATAAGTCACAATAATTCCACTCACGTCTTTCGCAAACTGGGGGTGAGTTGTCCCATTTCCCCTCAGCAGTACAGGTTGCAGAATTATGACCTTTCAATATATATCCGTCCGGACAAGAAAAACTAATTCGTCCACCAACAGGTCGCCATTGTCGACGAGTGTTCCCTAAGAATCCAGTGCGCTTTGGAACATGTGGTACTCGACACATTATTTCTGTAAAGATATCAAATATAATGTTTGACAATGTTGGCGCTTTTTTACGTCCCTTAGATATTAGGGTGAATGTTCGACACCGCGCATCACAACGGTTTAACGCGGAATGCTGGTGTGTAAAACTATAGGTTATCAAACCCAAATGTGCCTTATTCCCAGTACCCATTTTGCCAAAAAAGTGGTGAAATGTTTAAAGAAACCGGAATGCCACTCATTTTGAAAAAATTATGATCTTTGTATATCCAGCTCGAAAGAAAGTTTGTTTTATTTTTGATATAAGTATTATTTGATATAATTTATTTGACTGTGCCGCTTGGCTCTTATTGAACATCAAAGGAATACAAGTACAGGTACGGTCTCTTCACGATATTAAGTATAGTAGAAACATGACCCGATTTATCACAATTTGAATAACTCTTGAAAATTGGAATCGTTTGAACAGTCACCCTCAGGCTATGAAAGTATAGCTGAACATTTCTAATTCTTGTGAGTGGAATAAGTTAAATACACACATATAATATTCTTAATTAATATTACTAACTTCGTTCACAACTTGGTGGTGAATTATTCCACTGTCCATTTGCAAGGCACACTGCGGACCCATGCCCTTTCAATATGTAGTTATTTGGACACGAAAATAAGATTTTGCCTCCAACTTTCCACGAATGCTGATACTTTGGTGAGTACATGCAATTTGTTGGCAGACTGGGAACGTGGCAAAAAACGGCTGAAACAGTGATGTAAATACGAATAATATAAAATGACAAATATTTGTTGCTTATGAAACGTTTTTCAGATGCGAACCCAACATAAGCTCAACAATAAAAGTGTAAGTATGAAAACATCGCGATCAACGTTGATGGAATTTTATTTGTCTGCACAGTTTTATTAATTTAACCATATATTAGTTAATCCAGAAATAAAAATAGAGTTAGCTAATTCTTTAACAAAACCAAAACTGAAACATTGCCAATGAGCGCAAGGTAGATTGCCAATGCTTGTGTTCAGATCACAATATATTTTCGGGTATATATTATATCACACACGTATTGGCATTGCAAGTAATAAAAACATTAAAGTTATAAAAAATAGTTTTATGTCAAATATGTAAAACTTACGTCGTTCGCAAATAGGGGGTGACTGAGTCCATGTACCGTCTTTTGCGCAAATTGAGTAGCTGTGACCAACTAATTTGTAACCAGATGGACAATGAAAATGTATCATTCCTCCCGCATACCATGTTTTTTGATATCTTGGCGAGTAACTGCAATACTTTGGCAGTGAAGGTAAGGAGCAAAATATTCCTAAAGAACATATTTTGTTATTTACTTTTTTTTTGCAAATATAACTTGTATTTGATTCACGACGTTAGATTAGAACAAAGCGCAATGGTCCAATATTCCCAAGCTGCGCCTTTGGTTTTTGACGATAGTAAAACATATATTAATTAAGAATGTGAAATATTTTATCATGAACTTGGTTTAAAAAATCGTCAAATGAATAGCGCATTCTCTACTAAAAATGATTGGTTTTGAAAAACTATCAAATAAAAAAGTAAAATGTATGTTAGTTCAAAAATCATCAAATTCTATTAAAAAGTAAACTTACTTTTTCTGCATTCAGGAGCTTCTCGATTCCATTTACCTCCCAATAGGCATTTGGCAGATTTTACGCCAATTAGTTCATAGCCAGTCGGACAGTGAAAAGAAATTGTCTGACCAACACGCCAAGTCTTCTTGTGTACCGGTGAATATGACCAATCATGTTTCACACCGGGAGCGTAACAAACTTGTGCTGAATATACAAACGGATCTTATTAGTAACAAATTAAATATGATCGTACTGCAAGCTTTGCTGAATATTGAAATAAAACGTTATGAACATAATTTTTGCTCACATTGTTATAGCAAGAATGCCTAAACTGTTCTTGTTATTACATATGATTAAAAAACCATACGAAACCGGCATTAATCGCTTGGTCTAGACGCGTTTGGTTTCAGGTTATATGTATTATATTAATTTAGTTTGAATAACATTCCAAGTTGTCGCAGCTTAATTAAATTGTTTCGAAAACATTGACAAGTGTAATTTGTATGATAAATTTTGTTTAAAATAATAATTATCTGTCTGTTTTTTTTGGCCGAAAAGAATGCTGAATGCAGCTAAGAATGACTTTTGCGTACAGCAACATAATATATTACTTGTTAACCGGTAATTTTTCAACAGCTTCCCTTTGCAATTTACTCTGAGGCTTTATGTAAATCACGACAATCATTTTTTGTATATGGTATTTTATATGTATCATACCGTGGCATTTCTTGTCTTTCATGTAGTAACCAGAATTGCAAACACATCTATAACTTTGACCATCATTGATGCAGTCAGCGTTGAATCCACATGGATGATTTGCACAGGCGTTGATTGCTAGAAGTAGGATTATTGTGGATATGAAGGCTTTTGAGAGGGATAGTATTATAACTTTTTCACTTACAAACGTATATAGATTACACATTTTATGGTTCTCATCATATTATTATGACAATGGTCAAAGCATCTTTCACGAATAAGTTTATTCTGCGGTTTGAGCTGGAGTCAAGTGAAAGTAAATTTATATTCATTATTTATGACACATAGAACATCGAAAATACCGATCGTAATTCGCTGTCAAAAATATAAATCTACAAATTAATTGTAAATATAAACAGAAAAAGGACCTCCTGAAGTATGCACACCAAGATGGCGCACAACCTGAACTCAGGTTGTGTACCAGGTTAGGGTTCAGGTTATGCGACATTTTGGTGCTCATACTTCAGGAGTACCCAGAAAAATATATTTGGTTTAAATAAACAGAAAAAAAAGCTTTTCGTACAAGGACGAACGTGATACTGGAATCTCGCTTACATTCTATTTGTGTTTTTGATTTATTTCTAAATTATGTTTAAACAGATTACATGTATTTAGAGATTTTAGACTCGCGAGAAATGTTCAAAACAATTTAAAGGAGTGGTAGAAAATCCGTGATTACGTTACTGTTTAAAAGCTTCGGTTTAATTGAAAATATCAAAGTGGGACAAGCTTCTGATGGCTGAAAATATCTCAGCATTGAATCCAAAAAGTCGACATTAAAGTTTCGAATGTTGTGGGATCTCAGTGATTTTAATTAGGGTTAGGAACTGAACTCTATGAGAATGTCTATGAGGTTAAACACATACCAAAGTGTCACTAAAATTTTACATTTCTGTATTAAATATATCATTAAAACCTTTAAAGTACAACAATGATATCAAAATAATAAATATCACGGCAAAATAGTTTGTTGTGTATAGTTTAGTGTGAGTAGATACAAAAATTACAAAAAGTTTTGAATAGAGTTTAGTACATAAAAATAACTAAATATTAAGTACAGGTACAATGTAAAAATAACAAAAATTGTTTATCAAAAGTTAACTACTACTGTTTTTAATGAAAGAATATAGGTAGATTTCTTACCGTGGCACACCGGAAGATTAGGTGGCATCCAATGACCACCGTAAACGCATTTTGCTTGTCTTGGCCCCCTTAGTTCAAATTCTGGCCTGCAAGAGAATTTTAATATTGTACCGATTGGGCATATTTCTTCTGGCATGTTGGCCGCGTAAAGTTCGTCTGGTAGGGTTGGAGACCGGCATCCTTGCTTCTTAGATACATAGTTGTCATAGTACGCTGAAACAAAACATTTTGTTATTGAAAAATGCGACAAATACGCTCTACAAGGGTATTTTGGTTTCTTTTTTCAGTAATCCTGACTCCTTGATTCATATTCAATATGAAATATGTTATTGTTTAAACTTTGAAGCATCGACGAAAGTAAAATATTATCATGGAATCATTAAATACTATACTAAATAAAAAGTGCTTTGGTAATTTGATTCACATAAATTAGGTTTTACCCAGTCAAAAATCTCGGAGTAGTGGGTGAGTTTTTGTAATATGAATAACCAATTGCAAAGTTTATATCCCATATCTATATATATATCTCGATATATCTAATATTTTCACTGGCTAAATGGGGTGCTTTACCTCATTGACAATTCATATAAATGAATAACATCAAATTAATCGAAAACTCAACTGAAATTATAATTAAGGTCGAATAAATATTTTTATTACTACGAATCCATCTTAATTTGAAAATTTAATGCGAGAAATTCAACTCACCTGCAGTGAATCCGAATATACACAGCAGTGTGGAAATTAAAAGAGACACATTTCCCATCTTGCACGGTTTTTCAGTTGTTGCCAAAGCCAGCCACACACTCAAAGCAAATTTGAAACAATGACAATATGACTACCTGATTGATATAGTTATACACAAAACCAGCTTAATTATCCGATTTTTTTTCTCTCGAATTTGAAGGAAATTTTATATATTTTTTTATTGAGACTTTTTCTCTTTTCCACTGATATCACGATACTAATTTTTTTGTTCATCAAATTGGTATGTGATAAATCCAATAGTTAGGAGTTAAGTTTAAAGCTCATTGTCATATGTAAAACAATGATGTGATGATATCTGGTTAGGTATACGCATAGTTGAATCATGCCAGAAATAGGGTACTCACGTAGTATGTGAACCAATTTAGGGGACACGGAACGTAGTATGTGTACCAGGTAGGGTTAGGCCATGGCCATAATTTTATTCCAATTTTTCTTATTTTAGTTCTTTTACGAGTATGGGGACTGGCCAAGTGACTCCCGTAGTATTTATACCTGAAATTATGGCCTAACTTCAACCTGGCACACATACTGCATGGCGATGTCCGCCATCTTGGTTCACATACTACGGGAGTACCGAAAATAGTCCTCAGCACACGGTCGTCAACAGATCATTTAAAATAAAATAAAAGAGTAACCTCATGGCAACAGTCAGGATAAATGATTAAAAAAAACAATAGATTTTTGCGAATTGAAATTTTAGTCAATGATTTTGGAAAATTGGTCATCTCACGCGATTCGAATTATCAAAAATTGCCATTAGTTTTAGCGATTTCGTATATCTAGAATTACAAAATGTTTTGGACATGACGCAATTCTTGAACAATCAAAACTCCATGTCTTTAATATATATGATTTATACATGATTTGGCTCAGTTTTATGTCTGGAATATCATGGAAGTTTTTTAATCAAGTAAAAATTGAAAGACCATATTAAGTCCGTAATTGCAGGTCATTAATTAACCTAATTGAAGGTTGGATAACGTATTTTACGTTGTTTACGTCCTATTGAACGATTGTGGGTGACATATAATTTTCATCATTTGTCACGAAGTTATGGCATAATTGTGGAATAATTTTTTGTCGAAATATCTAATTAACTTCAAGTGCTGGCCACAGATAAAATCGACTATTTCTATTTTCTCATGCACAACGTAACCTTGTAGTCAGACAGTTTCATGAATAATAATCTTCCTGAACGAAACTGTCCTCTGCATGGCACGGTGTCTAGAATTTTAATTGTCATATATTTTCACGATTGTGGTCAAATATTTATTTATTTTACCAAACATAACTGCTTATTATTTTCTATTTTATAAAATTTTTATAAGCAAAGTTGCTTGTTACTTCAGTTGCCAGAATCAGTTCAATACTTGACTCCTACTCGGGTTAAAACAGTATAACCCAAAATGTATGGAAATTTGATTCTATCTTGATATTGTATTTTTAGCCCATCATATTTGATCATAAAATAAATTCATAAACAAAGCGATAAAATGAAACCAAGCTGATATTGCACTTTATAAATAACTTATGAAATTCAGTTTGCCCGTTTTTTTTTTGAAGGTTGCTATTGATTTTTCCGAAGAAATATCGTTAATCGCTAATTATAAGAAGGGAAATGATCACAAATTGACTTACACAATATGTTCTCATACGAAGGATGAAAGTTAATTTCACAAATTGATAATAGGTCACTAATGGATATAATCATTAATCAATTTGACGTAGATTTTTTTGTAATTTTTAGAAAATAGTTCCTATAGCAATTTTCTGGTAACTCGAGGTGGAAAACGATCCAATAAAACAAATTAGTTATTTCATTACTCAAACCCGACAATATAGACACGTCAAATCTATGGATTAGCAATGTGTTTAATGATGGCTTATTTAGCCTCATATGGATCGTATAATTAATCATTTTCCCCTCAATCTATCGATCCAATGTGTTGTCGGACAAAAAAAAATGAATGACGAAATGAATTTATCTAATGTGAGCATATTTGAATTGCCCGAAACTTTAATCAAATGAAATTTTTTACTTCAATCAAAATAGTTTAATGCAATTGATTAAATTCAACCACTTTTCAACTTATTCTAAATTGAATACATTTTATGAAGTTTTATTTATTTATTCATCTTCCATTTGTATCGTTCTCTTCAAAGGGTAATTTGATGACTATGCTTATTGCAGGGTATCCATCTTATGCATAGAACATCGAACGCCTCCAAAAATAAAATTCACGAAAAAGATTTTCTGAGTAAAGTTAGTTTCACTGAACTCAATAAGTCACGTTATCTTTGAAAACAATGATGTGTTTACCATAAAAAAATATCTGAATGTAATCCACTTTAAATACATTTTGCCACAAAATTGTTCTGCAAAATTATCTTGTTATCTCCAATTACAACACTAATTATGGGTATGTTCGAAAAAAATTTTTGTGTTCATTTTGGAGGCTCATTCAAGTTTTATGCACAAAGTAAGAAAATTAGTTTTGTGCAATCAAAACTTGTACAATCCAGAAATGCAGCGTAAACCTTATTGAGAGGCTGGATTTATGCGATGAGAGTCCATAGGCAAGAAATAGCGATAATTTTTCAATGGATGGGTCAAGCATGAAGGGCATACGTATTTGAGCAATACATGCATCTCGTTGCTGCATCTTTTTCTCAAGTTTTGTAATCTTTGAAATGAGCCGGACCGAAGCCTGTTATCAAATAATTTGGGATTAGAATCCTATACGGATGCGATATTTCAAATTGCACTTACCTGATCAGGCGATTTCGGTTAAGTGCGGAAACCGCGGATGTGTGGATGTGCGGATTCGCACACATATATACTATCGAAAAACGTTTATAATGCCACGGCAAATAATTTCAAATGACCTATACACCATTTTTTGTTCTTAAGTTCATATATATATTTACATCTAACACGGCCGGCCCAAGCTTAAGTATTCAGAATGGGACGCTCCCAAATAAAATTTGAATCAAGGAAGAACAATAATTTGTGAAGTTTGAATAGCTGTTTACAAATATCCTTGAAATTACAAAACAAAAATGCATCACAACATTAGACCCATATAGCCTAACACAACCTAAGTTTGGAATAGCCTATATCTATATAATATGCACAAATAAAACTATCATTATAAATATTTGCTTCTAAATTTTGATCAGTTAATCCTGCTTTCAAACAGATATAATAAAACAAAACAGATATTACATGTTCAAACAAAACTATCATGATAAATATTTGTTTTCAAATTTTGATCAGTTAATCCTTTTTTCAAACAGATGCAACAAATTTGATGTTTACCATGAGCAGGAGTTTTGTTTTGAAGGGGTGTTATCAACAGTTAAGTGATAAAGAAACATTAATAAAAGAACCCAGCCAAGAAAGTGTTGTTAAATAATCCAATTAGAAGAACTGCTACAACAATATGTTGCAACACAAACCTGGTTTATATTAAACCAAACATATTTAAGATTCACATCGACTTTCTTCATACAATTAACCCGGATCAAATGAATTTTCAATGGCGTTTCCAGAGTGCCACAATGAAAGATTGAAAGATATCTTATAAAATTTAAAAATAAATAGTTTTCAAGCACCAAGTATTTCAGATATTTTGAAGATGATATTTTCTGAAGTTTAACAAAAAACAGACATATTGGCAGATCATGAATACATAAAGAATGCGATTCCCCAGTAAACAATACTGCAAAATTATATTTAAGAAGTGTGGAGACAGCATCAGTTGGTATTTTGCCGTAGATGCAGATTAGGTTCGTCTAAGTTGCAGAGTTGTAAGCGGCACTAATTTGAGCCATGAAAAATATACAGATGGAAACTTTTACTTGCGTGTGACTATCGAAATATATAAGAAAACCGTATGTAAATATTAAGATCGTAATTTAGAGACTAGAATCTTTACCTACTCATTCCAAACTCAAAATAGAATCCAAATTGAATTTCTCATCCGTTTAACAACTCTCGCCTAAATGGATGAGCAAAAAAAAAAACGATGGTGTGTATTTTTAGGTGATTCATTTTGTGATAACTTTGGTCTCCCTGATTTTGTATATATAGATAACACAATGCTGTAGAAATACATCTTCCATCAAGTCGATGTGGTTAAATTATATTCACTCATTTTATGTTTAGTCATCAAGCTTTAGTTTTTGTATTGAATTAATAATAAGCATTTTATTTTTGAAATCCAATATATCTTCATTTTCGTATTGAAAGACTTTTGAGTTCTTTCTCTGAAAACATGGCGAAATTATTAAAATTATTCTTTGTACTTTGTATCTTCTTTTTGCAATCCTCTTTTGGACAAGAAGGAATCGGACTTTGTTCGCAGGTAAAACAAAATACTCAATACTACATTCTTGAACAAATTAATGGCGCTACTAATTGCATACAATGATAACCGCTAAATTCCGTCTAAATAACTGTAATTGCTAAATATTCCAACTTTAGAAATGTTATGAATGAAAATTGGAAAATTGTCTACAAAGTGCAATTGAAGCCATTACGGTTGATATATGCAAGTGTTCATAGAACTAACATAAAATAAATACTTCATTGCAACAATTATGCCAAAACAATGTGAGGTATTATAAATATAGAATATATCAATTTAGGTGTACCAGATGCATCAATATTGTATGAACCGACAAGACTACTCAACTGGAAGAAACCAAGTTGCAAAACGAGGACAAATCGGCAAAGCTGGGCTCAGGGGATCTCCTGGAATTGTAAACTACGGAGTCATCAATTCGACTATTTCAAAACAATTTGAAGGTGACTACTGACAAAGTTCTTTTGTCATTTTGTCCGTTTTGTAACTTCTTAATATGTCGAATTCTAATTTGGATTCTGAATCTATCACTAAGCTTTTTACAAAATCAAAAGCATAGCGGTTTATTTTATTTGTTAAAAATCGGTAATATTTGTAATTTTATACTTTAGCCACAATAATATACATAATTTTTTTCCTGCTGTATTAACCGTCTAACAACACCTAGTGTTAGTTGTTGTTACTCACTTATCAAAATTATTTCCGAATATGCCCTTTTGACTCAATGCAAATTTACCACATCTATAACTTCGTAGAGCCCTATTAGTGAGTCTCATTTTTGGAAGAATATTGTGTGATATAACATGAAACTATCTTTGTTTTACAGTTCTTGAAAATGGGCTAGAAACGAAATTTGCAGAAAATGTTCAAGCTTTGGAGAGGACGAACTCAAATCGTGATGATATAGAACATTTACAGAAAGGTTTATTTTAAATAATTTTTGTAATATTTGATGATTTTTATGATCATAATTCGCCTACTACGCAAATATTGAATAAGAAGTCAATATCACCATGTTTCAAACAGAATTAATGAACTGCACTCGAAGAATCAGCAATCTAGAAGAGATGTTTACGTGGAACAGAGCTAGCAACAATTTTTTCTACAAATTATTTCACGATAAAGTAACTTATGAAACTGCTAGATCGAACTGCAAGAGAATGGGAGCGAATCTCGCATCTGCGGGAGTCCGCGATTCTACTGTACGAAGGTAAGAAAGTCTTAAAATTTCAAATATTGGACTCGAAGGAGTTGTATTTGAGAGCAATATGTATCAAACAATTACAAAAACATTCGTGTACAATTATAAATGAACGGAAGTGTTGAACACATTAATTAAACAAATTTTTTGGTCATCCTCCAATTGCAAATGTTCGAAATATTTTATTTTAAAGCATGTTCATGTTTATCCCACTCGACGTCACACTTTCTCGTTATCAGCCCTTTCTGAAATTGATCTATAAAAGGTTAAAGGTGTGATTTAATGTGTAGAGAATGGCCTGCTGGTCTAACTGGTACTACTAGTCTTCCCTGTCTATTCTTCTACGTTGTTCGAGTGATATCCGGAACATCCTCAGCAAGGCCACGTAAAGTCCATCCGTCTACGCCGTTTAAGCTCTTTTATTTTCGTTCTACAAGTAAAGCGAACCGATTGTGTTGTGTTTGGTTACCCATGCCGTGTATTTTACTGAGTGTAAAGAATAATATAAGATTTTATCACTATTTATTGGACACTATTCATGCTATTGAAATGCCCTTACGGCAGAAAGTGCGCTTCATCAGAACCGAAAATGGCATGATCGGTTCGTGTTGCGTTAAAAACTAGTATGAAATCGTCAATATCGAACGCTCTTACGGTGCTGAGAAAGCGGTTTCAGAAAAGGCGTATCTGCAAGAAGTGTGACGCGAAGGGGTACCTTAATACCGCGCTTGAACCCCTCCGATTCTCAACGCTTAGGGAATTTGAAAGACAATTTGTATCAGAACAATCTTTGAACAATCCGTGAAGGCATGCTTGCAAATGCAGTAAAACTTAGGAATCTTAAGAGAAAAATGTTTTCGAGTAGTTGATAATTTTGCGCGTCTCACTGTGCGGATGTACGTTTGTCTTTAATGCCGCGGAGGTCACTGGAAACATGTCAATAATAAATAACGTTTAGGAAAAACGTCCTTGATTACTGAAACTTTTAAGTACATTCAAACCCAAACAGAAGTTCAAGTGTAAACCAATAAGTTATCTTCATTTCCGTAGACATATTGAGAAATCCATGTGTACCGTATAATGTTTGATGTAAAGTTTGTATTTTTGGTATAATTATCTTCCAATTCTAGTCAACTAATTTCGTTGATCAAATCTGGAGAAAGTAACGTCTGGATCGGTTTGGATGATCTTCAGCAGGAGGGTAACTTCATTTGGGCAGATGGCGTCGTCTCTACTAAAGCAAATACTGATTGGTCTACAAACCAACCAGACAATGCGAGAAATGAAGAAGATTGTGGAGATTTTTCTTTTAGGATGGGGTGGAAATTGAATGATGCTGCATGCCGTTTTTTGATGAAATATCTATGTGAAAAACAAATTTAAAAGTTGCAAACGGGATATGGAAATGAAAACCTTTTCAACTTTTTTTCATACTCCCACAAAAGAGAGTGAGTGTCCACACAAGAACAATTACATTTTTACTATATATACATATTTATATGACTCCGTGACGTTATCGATGTATATATAACTGATAACAAAATCTTTTGATTAATATGTGTCACCAGTTGGATAGAGAAAATCTAGTAGACATTGGCTAGAAAGTTTTAATATGAACATAACTAAAATAACTGAAAAATATTTTTGCAAAATAATACACTGACGTTTTGAATATTAAAACATTTTGTTTTCTCATGATAAACTATTTCAATCATAGCGATGGTATTCAATGATCTGTCAAATGAAATATGAAAGTTACGTTTACGCCTTGTTGGCAAATTTATTCAAGATGACTGAGATGAAAAGAAATAACTCGTACGTGCTTTCAATGTTAGTGGTCTTGATGCGTTATTAGGTATAAAATGAAAAAATATCTTATTTATGTTGTGTAAAAAACAGAAAATCGTTTTTTTAGTGTTTTCAGATAGAATTTGAGTTTACTGGACTTATTGGGATATTTTGCTCGCAGATGTGACCAGGAAATAAAGGAAACGTGTTTTACAGATAATATATTATATGATGTAAAATATTAGACATTTTTGTTGCTTGATGCAATTGATTGAATTCAACCACTTTCCAACTTATTCTAAATTGAATTCATTTCATGAAATTTTATATTTTAGTTCCCATTTCCATCTGTATCGTTGTCTTTAAAAGTCTAATTTGATGACTATGTTTGTTGAAGCGTATCTATCTTGTGCAACGACCACCAAACGTCTCCAAGAAATAAAATTCACGAAAAAGGTTTTCTGAACAAAGTTAATTTTAGTGAACTGAATATGTCACGTAATCTTAGACAACAATGACGTGTTTATCATAAAAATATAGCTAAATGTAATCCACTTTTAACATTTTGTCCCGAAATTGTTCTGCAAAGTTATCTTGTTATCTCCAATTACAACATTAATTATGGGTATGTTCGAAAAATTTAACTTTGTTTGTGTTCAATTTGGAGGCTAATTCAAGTATTATGCACAAAGTAAGAAAATTAGTTTTGTGCAATCAAAACTTGTGCAATCACGAAATGCAACGTGAGCCTTGTTAAAAGGCTGTATTTTGGCTATGATAGCATCTAGGCCAGAAATAGAGATACGTTTTTAATGAATGGGTGAAACATTATAGGTGTATTATAGAAAAGTAGACTGTGGATCATACGTATTTAGGCAATATCTGCATCTTTTCCTCAAGTCTTGCAATCCCTAAAATTGGCCAGGACTAGGGTTACCATCTTTTTGGCCTTCAAAGCGGGACGCCTCCAAAGACACGGCCCCTTAGCTGTGATTCTGTAACTTTACAGTTTCCGATTTTATTACATATAGTGTAGGGGCCATGATTCGAAACAGTGACCGTTAATATTGTAACTAAACTGGCAACGGTAACCTAGGGCATTGAACCCTGACCAATTTGGTGTTGGCGGGTTCTCTTTCGGCGTGGGCCGGTTGGAGGTAGGACGTATAAATTTGTATCTTAATCAATCGGGGGTTTTAGTATTATTAATTAGGCGTAGTTCAAATTTACATCATATAATTCTATTTCCTGTTATTTCGTATAGTTATTATTGGTCCCTCCTGTGTAATAGCACTGTATTTTACCGGATTACTGTTTGACAACTATTTCATCATTATTTGACTACCATTTTGACTCAACAATAAACGTCTTTGGACAATCATTTCGAACTTTGAAAGGAACTCAGACAGTACCGCGTCATCAAAAATGAAGTGCCTGTACGATCTATTCATTCCAATCACCCTAACGAGCGCATCGCCATCGTATGGTGCTGAGCCGTTATACATAGGCCTACATTTAAAGCCATCCCGGCTGTCTTCATTGACCATATTGTCATCGAGAGTTCATGCGCATATTCTCTGTCTAAATATCGGGTTCAGTTCAAAAATAGAAAGGAATAGACGCTAACGATACAAATGATCCGAATTTAGATATTTTTATGTACAGCAAAAGGAATAAAGAATTAGACTGCCGTTTCAAGCATTGAGATTTTACTTATTCCCTAAGCACGCCTTTCTGTAGATACCACCTTCAAAAAGACTTTGATCAATGTTACATTCACGTGAATGTTCGAACAAGACCAATTAAAATAGATTTTACATGTGATACGTTCGCTAACAATGTTAGTGGGAAACAACAAACAAACAAAATAACGCATTCACCTTCAGTAATCAGCAATTCAGCCACACAGCAACAACATTAACAAGAGCATGTTAGTGTGTTATGCTGGATGGCTGAACGCAAAAGCGGGACTTTTGACTGACTTGCCGGGACGGTGGGACAAGACGCTAAAAAGCGGGACTGTCCCGCCTAAAGCGGGACGTATGGTAAGCCTAGCCAGGACCAAAACCCGTTATCGAATAGTTTGGGATTCGAATCCTACAGATGCGATATTTTGTGCTGTCCTCAGACGATTTTGGTTACTTAATTCAATTAAATTCATGTGCGGAATCTCGGATTCGCACACATATGTATTATCGAAAAACGTTATTATGCTACGACAAATGTTTTCATGATATAAAAGGGGTTTGGACGGAGTTACACTCTGTGAGAATCCCATATATGGGATGAATATGAGGGGATATGGATTCAAACCAAAAGAACTAATAATTTTTTTTTTTTCAATTTGAAATTATTGACCACTTTCCATTAATGATTATCAAATTAACTATACACCATTTTTTAATTCTTTAGTCCGCGCTCTCCAATAAAATTTGAATCAGGGAAGAACATTTAATTCTGAAGTTTTGAATCGCTATTTAGAAATCAATCCATTACAAAAAGACTGGTAGGTGGTAACATGCTAAAACAAAATATTTTATCATAAATATTTGCTTCTAAATTCTGATCAGTTAATCCTCCTTTCAAACAGATATAGAAAATTTGATGTTTACCATGAACAGGAGTGGGAATTGTTTTGAATGGGTGTTTTCAGCTGTTAAGTGATAGAACAACGTTAACAGAATCCAGACAAAAAGTGTTTTTAAATAGTTTAATTCAAAAAAATGTTACAACAATATGCTGTAACACAAATCTGGTTTATATTAAACCAAAAATTTTTAAGATTCACATCGATTTTCTCCATACAATTAACCCGCATCAAATGAATTTTCAATGGAGTTTCGAGATTGCCACGATGAAAGATTCAAATATATAAGACATGGTTTCCGATAAAATTTAAAATCAAATAGTTTTCAAGCTCCAAGTATTTCAAATATCTTGAAGATGTTATTGTCTGAAGTTTAACATAAATCAGACATACTGATAAACCATGAATACATGAAGAAGGCGATTTTCCAGTAAACAATGCTGCAAAATAATATTTAAAAACGAAAGTGTGGAGGCAGCATCAGTTGTTATTTTGCCGTAGATGCAGATTAGGTTCGTCCGAGTTGCAGAGTTGTAAGCGGCACTAATTAGAGCTATTAAAAAATATACAGAGGAAAATTTTGCTTGCTAGCGTGTGACAATCTAAATATTTAACAAAACTGGGATTTAGAGTTATGATCTTCACTTACCCATTTTAAACATTTCTGATCGTTTAACAACATTCTCCAACCAATTCATTCTAGACTAAATCTATTTGCGGAAAAGGAGTATATCTTTTTTGGAAATTCATAACTTGGCCTCACTGATTTTGTAAATATCGTTGTCTGCTTAAATGTTTTATCAACCGTGTCACTGTGTTAAATGATGAGGAAACACGAAGTTAAGGATAACAAAAAGTTGTAGAACTAAATGTTCCTTTAAAGCGATGTGGTTGAATTTTATTCATTCATTTTGTGTTACTCATTAAGCTGTAGTTTTTGTTATATTTAATTATTTAAAAGATTGTTTTTGATACTCCACATGTATCTTTGTTTCTTTTTATTGGAAGACTAAAGGTATTTCCTCTGAAAACATGGCGAAATTACTAAAATTGTGATTTGTATCTGCCTTTTGCAATCCTCTCTTGGACAAGAAGGAGTCGGACTTTGTTCGCAGGTAAAACAAAATACCCAATACTACCACCAGTACTATACTCCTGACCAAATCAATGACGCTACTAATTGAATACAATGATAATCGCTAAATTTCCTCGAAATAATTGTAATTGCGAAATCTTCTAACGTTATTATGTCCATTAGAAATATTATGAATAAAAATTGGAAACTCATCTACAAAGTGCAATTGAAGCCAGTATGGTTGATATATGCAAGTGTTCATAGAACTAAAATAAAATAAATACTTCATTGCAACAATTATGCTAAAACAATATGAGGTTATATAAATATAGAATATATCAATTTAGGTGTACCAGATGCATCGATATTGTATGAACCGACAAGACTACTCAACTGGAACAAACCAAGTTGCAAAACGAGGACAAATCGGCAAAGCTGGGCCCAGGGGACCGCCTGGAGTAGTAAACTACGGAGTCATTAATTCGACTATTTCAAAACAATTTGAAGGTGACTATTGACAAACTTCTTCTGTCACTTTGTCCGTTTTGTAACTTCTTAATATGTCAAATTCTAATTCGGATTCTGGATCTATCACTAAGCTTTTTACAAAATTAAATGCATAGCGGTTTATTTTATTTGATAAAAACCGGTAATATTTGTAATTTCATACTTTAGCCACAAAAATATACAGAACTTTTTTCCTGCTGTATTAACCGCCTAACAACACCTAGTGTTAGTTGTTGTTACTCACTTATCAAAATTATTTCCGAATATGCCCTTTTGAATCAATGCAAATTTACCACATCTATAACTTCGCAGAGCCCTATTAGTGAGTCACATTTTTGGAAGAATATCGTGTGATATAACATGAAGCTATCTTTGTTTTATAGTTCTTGAAAATGGGCTAAAAACGAAATTTGCAGAAAATTTTCAAGCTTTGGAGAGGACGAACTCAAATCGTGATGATATAGAACATTTACAGAGAGGTTTATTTTAAATAATTTTTGTAATATTTGATGATTTTTATGATCATAATTCGCCTACCACGCAAATATTGAATAAGAAGTCAATATCACCATGTTTCAAACAGAATTAATGAACTGCACTCGAAGAATCAGCAATCTAGAAGAGATATTTACGTGGAACAGAGCTAGCAACAATTTTTTCTACAAATTATTTCACGATAAAGTAACTTATGAAACTGCTAGATCGAACTGCAAGAGAATTGGAGCGAATCTTGCATCTGCGGGAGTCCGCGATTCTACTGTACGAAGGTAAGAAAGTCTTAAAATTTCAAATATTGGACTCGAAGGAGTTGTACTTGAGAGCGATATGTATCAAACAATTACTAAAACATTCCTGTACAATTATAAATGAACGGAAGTGTTGAAAACATTAAACAAATTTTTGGTCACCTTCCAATTGCAAATGTTCGAATTATTTTATTTTAAAGCTTATTCATGTTTATCCCACTCGACGTCACACTTCCTCGTTATCAGCCTTTTTTTAAATTGATCTATAAAAAGTCAAGGGTGGGATTTAATGTGTAGAGAATAGCCTGGTCTAACTGGTTCTACCGTGTTTTCCCGAAAAAAAGGACAGTGTCTTATTCAAATTTTCTTTCGAAAAATAACACTAGGGCTTATTTTCGGGGTATATATGTCTTATAAGTTTATCAAAAACAAAATTAGAAAGTACTGAATTAGGAGCTTAAAAATAGGAAAACTGATATTTATTCACTAGAATGATACGTTTTCCTCTCTCACACGTTTTAGATTAATCATTTAAAATGTATGGAGAGATTTCTTGCTATCGACCAGGTAAAAAAAAATTGCGTTATCGACTAGGTCTTATTTTATTTTATTATATTAACATCTTTCTTGAAATTCAGACTAGGTCTTCATTTCAGGATGGGTCTTATTTTCGGGGAAACACGGTACTTGTCTTCCCTGTCTATTCTTCTACGTTGTTCAAGTGATATCCGGAACATCCTCAGCACGCCGCGTAAAGTCCGTCCGTCCGCGGCGTCATTTTATCCGGTCCGCAATAACACGCAAAAATGGCTAAATTTATTTCCAAGGAAGATTTTCACGAGCATCGTCGTCCTTTTTTATTTCGTAACATTGGCCAATCGGCAAGATGCAGAAAAGTGACGTAATAATAGGCCTTTCCGCATCCGCTCAGACACTTTTGTCACCCTGACAGATTTTCAGTCGTGGTTGTAAACAAAACTTCGTTTTTGCGACTTTGAATGCTACCAGTAAGTAACGTTTTCTGCGATACACTTGTACACTCGTGGCGCTTGCTTTCGACGAAACTGTTTGTTTTTCGTGCTAAAATAAACGTCGAATGTGCATTTTGTGCTAACAGTACTGTAATCCCTCGCGTACTGCTCCAATTTCGAAAGCCACACTAACTTTTGTACTGCTTCAATGCGGATATTCATGTAGTTATGTTACAAAAAAATTGAAGTTCATCCGATTTAAATAAAAACTGCTCCAGTGGAAAGATCTGAGTAGAAATAGAAAACAATACCAAGTTTGGAATAAACGGTCAAGAAATAACGGAGATATCGGAATTTTAGTACCGCCCGACAGCCAATTTTTTCCATAATGATTGTATTACTTTTTTGATAAGAACTGTACTAAATATGGAAATATAACACATATCAATCACTAATCTTTCGATGTGCGTCACATCTATGGTATATTGAGATAATTTCAGGATTTTATTCTGGCAACGGTCATTGACACCGCCGAAAGATCGTCGCAAATAAACGCTGGAGTTGTGCATGATAGTTTGACAGTGGTTCATTGTGGGTAATAATTAACGATGTTCTGATTGTACGAACTTCATAAAAATTGGTAAGTATCAAGTTAGACAAGAAATACACACGTCCATATAAATTTTATTGGTGTCCATAGACAATATCAATAATTTGCACTACGTATAACTGGGGCGTAATTTTTAAAAGCGTCGAATGTTGGGAAATTTATGCGCTAATGAAAAAATTCATATAATAGTTGTTTATTTTATCTAAATTATGTCAAAATTTCATAGAATTCCAAGCTACAGCAGGCAGTCGTTTTTATGAGCGGTATTTTAACACGGCGTAACGGTACTTAGCAGACGTGATGCGTACATTTTTTGCCGCTGATTTTGTAACATTTCTAATTCATGACAGCAACGTTTTGATAACAGCTAAACTCAGGATAGTTGTCTAGATATAGAAATCTTGTTAATTTTTTTTCCTAGGATGTTCTCGATCTATATTCTGCGATATTCCCAACATTTGTGAATTTATTGTATTGCATTGACAAAAATATTCATCCGGCCCGTTTCAACACAATTTGAGTCATACCCGGCCCGCGGTCAAAAAAGTTTGGTGACCCCTGGTCTACGGCGTTTGAGCTCTTTTATATTTGTTCTACAACTAATGCGGACCGATTGTGTTGTGTTCGGCTACCCATGCCGTGTATTTTACTGAGTGTAAAGAATAATACAAGATTTTATCTCTATTTATTGGACACTATTCATACCATTAAAAGGCCCTTACGGCAGAAAGTGCGCTTCATCAGAACCGGAAATGGCATGATCGGTTCGTATTGCGTTAAAGACTAGTATGATATCGTCAATATCGAACGCTATTACGGTGCTGAGAAAGCGGTTTCAGAAAAGGCGTATCTGCAAGAAGTGTGGCGTCGGGTACCTTATTACCGTGCTTGAACCCCTCCGATTTTCAACGCTTAGGGAATTTGAAAGACAGTTTGTATCAGAACAATCTTTGAACAATCCGCGAAAGCATGCTTGCAAATGCAGTAAAACTTAGGAATCTTAAGAAAAAAATATTTGCGAGTAGTTGATAATTTTGCGCGTCTCTCTGTGCGGATGTACGTTTGTCTTTAATGCCGCGGAGGTCACTGGAAACATGTCAAGAATAAATAACGTTTAAGCGAAACGTCCTTGATTACTGAAACTTTTGAGTACATTCAAACCCAAACAGATGTTCAAGTTTGAACAAATAAATTCTCTTCATTTCCATAGAAATATTAAGAAATCCATGTATACCGTATAATGTTTGATGTGGAAGTTTGTATTTTCAGTATAATCTGATGAAAGTCGCTGCATATTTTGTTGCTTATTTATCAATTGATTACAAATTAGGCGCATTATCTTCTGATTCTAGGCAACTGATTTCGTTGATCAAATCTGGAGAAAGTAGCGTCTGGATCGGTTTGGATGATCTTCAGCGGGAGGGGAACTTCATTTGGGCAGATGGCGTCGACTCTACTAAAGCGAATTCAGATTGGTCTACAAACCAACCCGACAATTCTAGAAATGAAGACTGTGGGCATTTTGCCATTGGGTATGGATGGAAATTGAATGATGCTCCATGTGGCCTTCTGATGAAATATCTATGTGAAAAACAAATTTAAACTCTTAAAAAATAAGGGATATGGAAAATGAGAAACTTTTCAACTTTTTCCCACACTCCCACAAAAGAGAGTGAGTGTCCACACAGACAATTACATTTTTACTAAAAATGCTTGTATATATGACCCCATAACGTTATCGATGTATATATAATTAACAACAAAATCATTTGATTAAATATATGTCAATCGCGGGATAAAAAATCCAGTTTAGGAGATCGATATGGGTTAGCAAACTCTGTCAAACTTGAGAAAAATGGGAATTGTTTTGTTTCAGCATAACTAAAATTATTGAAAAAGATTTTTGCAAAATAATATATTGCTAGTATAAATAATAAAACCTTTTGTTTCCTCATTATAAACTATTTTAATAATAGTAATGGCCTATCAAATGAATTATAAAAGTAGCGTTTACATGTAGTTTCTGACCAATTTATTCAAGATGTAATATACTTATATACTAATATACTTATATTCAACTCATGTTATAAGTCAGGTAGAGTACGGGATATTGATTGGGGTAATATGGACATGAAAATGATGAATATCGTCAAAGATTTTTGTTGGTATTTTTTTTAATTTTGCTCTGCATTTTAAGCTTTAGCTTATTCCAAAGCTTCAAGTATAAATGATTCCATTCATGCCTTTGATTGAATAGGACACATATGCTCAAGGGCAATACATACAAAAATCTCAAAGAGAGTTGAAGTATACAAGAAATAATAAAATAGTAATTTTTCCGACAAAAAATTATGAATATTCTCATAAATTATTTAATTTATCAATCTGGCGGTAACCCACCTGATCGCTGAGAACGTGAATGGTGATGTGATATTCGTGCAATTGTTGAACATTAGAAAAACCATGGGTAACACAAAGGGTAGAGAGAGTTATTAAATATAAAAAAGATATTGATTAAATAATATGCAACCGAGAGGGAGTTTCATCTTTAATATCAGAAATATAAGAGAGATAGGTCCAATAATAACAAAAGCCCCCCAGTCACAACCGCAATAACAATAATTAGTGCAACGTTCCAAAGGTCCACTTTATGCTTCCACGAATGTTCGTCAAGTGAGGTATTACAAAATCCATCTATTGTTTACTGAAATTTTAAGCACATGACCTGGCTTGGTTGGCATCTGTGCGACGAAGGAAGTGATCTATGGGTACATTTCGTGTGCAAACGCATACAAAGCTCAACAATCTACGACAATCACGAATGCTTGTAAGGAAAGGTAATGGCAATCCAAAAAGTATGATACTAAAGTTTTATGGGCATCATGACTAAATAGTTCCTGTTCATACATGCGCTTTAAAAAAGTGAATTATGCTACGTGCAACTAATTATATATGGATAATTTGAAGAAAAATTACTCATTATGGCAATGCACTTAGTCATTATTATACATCCACCGCCATTCACAGCGAGTCAGTTCAAACCAAATAGCTGTGCTGAAGAGTGTCGAATGAGAAAGAATTCCTTTATTCTGTATATTTCGAGCAGCTAAACTAACCGACATGAACTTTTTAAGTAATTTGATATTAATATTTTTTTTGATACTGAAACCGAGTCTCATTTTTGCTGGTGAGTTTTTAAAAGTTTTTTGCGAATAATAAAATTAACTGTATATAATAGAACCATTTATAGTCAATATTCATTTGGATGAATATTCGTAGGATTTCTTTGATTTGAGAAAGATATCTATGTCAGTCTTATCAGATGAAAAGATATCCTCCCGTCTTGTTTGCGTCCCTTTTAATTTTAGTGGGGACTAGAACAATAATGGTTGCAAAGCCGAGCGATGTGTCTGAGTATTGTGTGTGTGGTGTTAAGAGTTTGTTGCTCCAATGATTCAAGACTTAAGAAATCTTGCAAGTTTGAAAAATTTTTGTTTGCTCAAATTGGTTTCCGAATATCTTCATAACTGTACAGTGTACTTAGTTATTACTTATCGATCTTAAAATCGGTAAGTATGTTGATAGGTATTTGTCTGTTAGACACTTTCTTATGTTACGCGATATCTCACGTAATCGGAGTTGAATCTCCTCCAAATTTTGCATGTGGATTCATCATATCTCGGACCAAAAGCCTACTGATTTTGGATGAATTATGTCGTATAATTAGAATTTTTAATTAATTAGTGATAGGACATCGCTGGGGAGCGGATGAATCGAAACCGCAGTTCATATTTTGGCGGATCCCCTAACTTTTGATCGATAAGTCTTCGGTCTCTGACCGATATTCTCGTGTATATATTTTGATGAGTGGATCTGAATTCCGCCTCACATCAGTTGAAAAATAAAAATTTACCGCGTCAGATCTTAAGATGAATTGCATCACCTTCCCCCATCTATGGTGAATGTACGGAGAAAATAAATGACTGAATGAAAATGAGCAAAATGTTTTCTTACAATGCAATAATGCGTTTTCAGATGACCCGTTTTCGAATGTCCAGTTGGTTATTGAGGATGCCCAAGGCTCCTGTAAGAAGGAAGATCATTTATCGGTAAGTATGTGAACATGCAATTCCTAACAAATTAAATCAGAGTATAGCAATTTTCCTGATTGATTGCTTCGAGGTTTTATCTTTCTATTCAAACGTGTTTGCTTGTACAATAATATTCCATTTACCCGGATTTCCCAAACCGTTAAAACATGCTTGGCTGACCAATTTACTGCAAGACCCTGAAGTTGCAAGAGTTTCATTTATGTATACCGCAATCTTTTGTTTCAATTCTCTGATCATATGCAAGTGTCTTAAACTAAACTTTGTCCGATACGATTTGTAACGTGCTGTAGAAGACTAATGCGGAGGTATGGCATTCTTGAGTGTTAATGACCATCGTTTCTTCCTGACGTGTAGGCAAATGTGCTATGACTCAGTTATGAAGTAATGTATCAGTCTAGCCTGGACAGGCTTCTAACATGAGTTGAAACTCAACTAAAAACTCGGTGTCTCGTACTTTATTAAAATTTCTTTTTTTTATGAATTCAAAAATTTGTTTATTTTTACAGATTAAAAGTGAGCAAGGTGAGTACAACGGTTTTTGATGAAATTTCTTGCAAATCTACCCGACTCCCAAAGCGCAGTTTGAATTTGCTAGAGTATATTGAGAAATTGTGAATGAGGCATTTATCGAAGAAAAACATATAAGCTATTCAGTCATATTTAATCAATTTTCCCAGATTGTGTTAGGTTTACAGACTCTATTATATCGATCATCATCCAGCATCATATTATTTATATTAAGGATGGATTTTACGAACCTAGATAAACTAAGCTATAGTATTTGGTTATTTTGATATTATTTTAAAAGATCAGTTTCTAATTCAGTTTATTGCCCAACCACATGTGTATATTCTTCAAAGTTTATTGCATATATTTTATTTCGATGCAGAATTGAGAGAAGCATTGGAGAAAAAATTACTGAAGTTTTTGGCTGACAATCCTGGGCAAGAGATCGCTATAACAACACAATTGATAGCGAATGGTAGTAGCCCCGTTAGACATTACATGTGTATATATAAGGGAATACCAAAATGCCTTACTAATAACCACCAATTTGTATATACCTATTCGATACCATTAGTGATCATTACAGTGAATGAAATCAAAATTTATAGACTGGTTGATGCTGTATAGTGTTCATAGTTTCCACAGCCTAAATATTCACTTTGTTCTAGTTCATAAGATGACACAATTGCACGGTTTCAAAAAAATTATTTTATAGTGATAAAATATAATATTATTTTTTTTACTATGACGTCCATTACAATTTTCACTCCGAACAAGGCAATAACGAGAATATCGGTCAGAGACCGAAGACTTATCGATCGAAAGTTAGGGGATCCCCCAAAACAGCGCACTTACTCCATAGTGACAACTTGTGTCCCATCACTAATTAATTAATAACTCGCTAATTATACGACATAATTTGCCCATAATCAATAGGCTTCTGGTCCGAGATAAGATGAATGCACATGCAAAATCTGGACCAGATTCAATCTCGCTTTCATGGGATATCGCGTGCATCTAACAGACAAACAGACATACAAATACCTATCAACATACTTACCGATTAAAATCGATAAATAACAAGCACCCACTCATATCTAACAATATGTAAGGTTCTACCATCTATACAATGCACACTGGGTGAGGTAGTAGGCATGTGATTTTAACCTTGCATACAAAAAAACTTAGGTCTAACGGTCGTAAATACTCGGCCATCGCGCCCACGTCATTTCTGAACGATATTTGAATGTCGTTCGTGGTGTATGTGATAGATCACGTATAGTTGAAACAATCAAAGTACGCAAACCATTTCCTTATAAAATTTTATGATCTCATCTGTTTGTCAGAAACAACATAGGAACATACCGTTCAAAAATGCCGAGAACGAAGTACGATACAATTTTTATATTTGATACTTCAATTACAATTTTTAGAAGTTTCGTGTCCACCACAATGGTTTAAAGCGAGCAATAATTACTGTTACGAATATCATACACAAGAAGCAAACTACGTAAACGCTAAATCAACTTGCGAAAAGAAAGGAGGAACTCTCGCGGCCGCCGGAATACGAGATTCATCAGTTCGCAGGTAATGACAATGTATGTATTAATCAATTATTTCACGATTAAACTAAATTGCGGTTATAATCAACAAAACAACAAATAGTGCTTAAAATTTGAAAAAACTAATAAAATTTAATTTGTCATTCTGATTCGGTTTTTCTTATATGAATGGTCACTAGTAGCCAATGCGGTATTCCATACACAAAGTTTTTACAAATTTTTTCTGGTCATTTAACTCGGACATATGCTCTCACATTTAGAGTAAGAGTTACTGTGAATGGTATTCCCACCAAGCTAGTGTACATGTTTAATAACACCACTCCACATTCTCACAATACTTAGCTAATACATACTAAACCACTAATACAAACTTAGTATTTATTTTTTGAAGGGAGTTGTTTAAAAGGATAAACATTGGAAAATACATTTGGATCGGCTTGGATGACACAAAAAAAGAAAAGAGTTTTATTTGGGCGGATGGTGGAAGTTATGTTGAGTCAAAAGATACTAACTGGGATTCTGGACAACCAGACGACGACGATCTTAATGAGGATTGTGTTCATTTGTCGGCTAAACATGGCGATTGGAAATTGAATGATATTAACTGTGATAGCAAATTGACATACCTTTGTGAAAAAAAACTATGATTTTGTAAAATGCCCTTGCTGTAATCAAGGAAGACTTGTGGACAATTTTACGAAACAATACTGAGAATTAGGAAAGTAAACATATGTTGAATTAACATTTCAATAGAATTCTCTAAATTTCTACGCTGCTACGCTATCTAATTTTCCATCAAGCATGAAATATTTCCTTCTAGTTTTGCCGCCTATAAATTTATTAGCATCCCAGTTTTTTTTCAATGTTGTCGCAGCCAGGTCGTCGTCAAAGACTATTATGAATGCATTTTAATTTTAACAAGCGTAAATATTTGAGTGTCCCATTTTAAGCGAGTGACGATTCCTTATGTTTTTTTAACAGTCTCATATTTCATGTTTTTAAATGCAAGTTTATATAATCTTTATGTTGATGAAATACTTAATTGTAAAATAGTTTATGGTACCTGTAACTTCAATTCGAGCCATGCTATCGTATATATCTCTGTCTTCAGAAATTAGGTAACATTGGATTTTTTTACTTTATCCGTAGGATGGCAGTAGAATGATATCAACAAAATGAGCTGAATAAACATAGGTTGAACCTGATCAAATTTATATTCCCTGATAAATCAAGGAAAAAATGGGCAGATCTTATTTTTTTAGAGAGTGATTTTAATTGGAATAAATTGTATATGGATATCTTTTATGGTACTATTGAAACTAAATTGCAATCTTTTCATGTAAAAATGTTCCATGGTGCCATAGTACTAAACGATAGATTGTATAAATTTAAACTTGTTTCATCAGAGTCATGTGATTTCTGTCATTCAAATGTTGAAACTACCAGCCACCTTTTCTATGAGTGTATAGTTGTTCAACAGTTTTGGGAAACACTAAACATGTGGATATACTCAAAAACAGGGATTAATTTTAACTTTTCAAAGAGAGATTGCATGTTGGGATATAGTAATAATTTACAGAAAAAGAAACCACTGTTTAATGTTTTTACCTCATATCTGTATGAAGTGAGGGAAATTGAACGGTTCAATGCATATAAAAATGGGAAAATAAAGAAACATGATAAAAAATGGAAAATTTTATGATACATTTACTGATTATTTTATATGATGAATTGTGTAATGTCCATGATTAGTGATTAATAATGTTGTGGATGCACCGATCAACTGTGTTTTATATATTAATAAATAATATATACAAAAAAAAAAAAAAAAAAAAAACTAAGCTATCAAAATGAAACTGTCAGGAACTTGGGAAACAGGACTACTATTTGTAGTCTCATAGGCTGTCGCAGGTTGTCAGGACTAATTTTTGATTACTGCGACCTAACTAAATCTTTTCGGAAGACTACTGATTTATACTTGATTCATGAAAAAGAATACGCAAAACCATAAAACAAAATGTTTACAGTCATGCATGAAAATTTGGTCGAAAAATTTTAAGCAGAGCAAATTCAACCACGCCTTCGTGAGATATCGCGTGCATCTAACAGACAAACAAACAAACAGACAGAAAGACAAACAGACAAATACCTATCAACATACTTACTGATCTAAAGATCGATAAGTAACAACTGTAATCATGAATTCATAGTAGTATACTTCATTTAAGTTTGTATAATCTACTCGTGAGGAAGGTTGTCATAAAAAGGATGACAGTCAATTGGCATAATTGATCTCATTTCTTGAAGATCATTAAATTTCCTTGCACAAACTGGAATACGAGATCTGAACATTGGCACCAATTGTCTTTGGACATTCTGTACACGGTGTGGTAGCACTTTCCAAATTGCCTCCTCAAACGAAAGCTTGTAACGAATACTACCATCACTTTCGTACTTCAGGGCACGCAAATCGTGCACTCTGGGATCTCCTTCTCTTTTTCCGGGTCTAATGCTTTGAAGGAACAATTGATTTATTCTTTTGAAATCAGTGTACTTTCTTTGGCGAACATAATAGGGTGATGAATTGATTCTTGTGGATTCCATAAGTACGATTAAATGTCTTTCAGAAAAAATGTAGCCTACGATCTTTTGTTCAATGACGCTGTGCATCGAGTAACATTCCATTTGTGTATATCCAGCCACCAAAAATTTTTGCTCCATATCTATGTTGTAAATTCTTGCCAAACTAGAATATGCATTGGCTACCGTGATATTCCTATTTTGGTAACCATATCTATCGCTCCAAAGTATAATATGCTCCAACTCGGGATTATTACAAATAATTCGCTTAAAATTTTCAAACTGCAAGTAAGCAAATACTTCACTAGAAAGATTGCCTTCAGTTTCATTCCAGACGTAACAGTAACCTGCTTTTGATTTCGTATCATATAGTGTGAAATTGTGTACCTGTAGCTTAGTTCTGTAATATGAGGTACTAGCTCTCGTTCTAGGACATAAAAGCACGGCCTGTAGAATAGATCCATCGTCCAAACGGATTTATTTGCATCTGCAGAATCTTTGTCAGTTATCTTTTTGGACACGTAGTGGACATAACGATCGTTTCAATATTATGTTGTTGTTGTTTTTGTTGTTCTTGTTCTTGTTCTTTGACACGTTTTTAAAAAGTCGCTTTTCTCTTCGAATACTGGACCAATTGCTTTGAAATTTTCAGTTGTTGAAGATTAATTTTTTCGCTAGAAGGCTATTACTTTTGTTTATTCTTAAATTTTATATGAATCCTATGAGATATGATATTTCATACAAAATTTCGCGGTATTTATTTTTACTCATGGGAACACTGTTTTACACTTATTTCAAGCGGTTTCGCGATCGATTGTCTTGCTCAGTACAATGACATTAAACAACATGATGCGCAACTACGGCATTTTTGGCCGAAGATCGTATCCGATAGCACGCTCCAATGCACATACTTGACGGGACGAAAACGAGCCGATGTGTGCTGTTTTCAAGGCATAGCACGAATGGTGTTCGTGCCGGCTATGACAGTTGTTGTCGATTTTATTGATATTTTGGAAAGTTGAGATAAAAAGAAATCGGAAAAAGGTAAGGTAAATACTATTGTTGTATATCACACCCGGGCATCGCACTGTTAAGTACTTGTGGGAAAGCCAGCTTTTGTCAAATACTACGAAGTTATTAATTCAGTACGGTACGTAGTTGCCCATTTGCCAAAATTGCATATTTACTTACCCTTTATGGTTTCAAAAAGTTCATGCACCTCCATTTAGATTTTTTTTAATCAGTGAGGATTGAATCAAAGGGTTAACAAGTTCACCTAACATTACTCATACCGGTCTATATTGTATAGTCTGACTAAATTCCTTTATTAGTTGGTTTATATACCAAATTCAGTATAACATTTTTTACATTAAACATGAGATATTGGATTTATTAGCTTTTCTATTCTAAATCATATAGACTGCTTCATTTATTCTTGACGAAAATTAATAAATCTCCTCGCTTTCTTCAGATGTGAATGTGGACAAACCTGTTTAAGCATTGTGAGACTCCTGCAGCACAAGAGGCAATAGCAAAAATAGTAAGTATATCAATCAAGAAATTAAGCCGACATAAAGCAAAAGTTTCAACTAATCGTCTGATCTCAATTTCCTATTATTTATTCACAGGACAACTATAGCAGAAGGGGAGATATCAGAAGTCTGGCGACATATCAGTGACCGTGTGATTCCAAGAAATATAATTAGAGTACTCCATAAATTTTTGCATTAGAAGAACAACCTATGGAGGCATGCAAAGACATTTGACCCTCCGGTAGAGTTGTGTAAGGCCCCCACACCCTGCAGGGCTGGAAAATAACAAAAAATTCAAAAGCGTGAGCTTGCATAAGCGGTCCTATTTGTAAAAAGGCACAAAACACGCCATACATACTTAAAACAGCTTTGGAAAATGAGGATTACGGCCTGTGTTATACATCTACACCTGTGTTATATTTGGTTCATCAACTTTTGGTAGTACTATAGAAGAAATTCAGGAAAGGGTATATTCATGATAAAATACTGTTATATATATTTTGGACAACTTCAATCTAGACCAGGGATGTCAAACTCGCGGCCCCAGAGAACTTCCTAATTGTATTTTGGAAGTTTTTTTCTATCTAAATGTAATAGATTTTTCAAACCTTTTAAAGTGAAATTGATTATTCACACAGAAAACAATTTACTGAAAGTAGTTTTGGAAAATTAATTTTTTTTTGTTCACATTTTGACCCAATTAAGAATACACATCAAGCTAGCAAAAGAATACTTGAATAAAACACTTGAGTGATTAAATTAAACGCAAAGTACATGAAGAAGGTGGCATTTTCAAAGAAAATGAGAGTTGCAATATTTCTGCATTCCACAAAATTCTGAAGCACATTGTTTAATTTGTCATATTTCCATCATTACAATGAAAAAACACAATAAGCTCAGCAGTCAATATGACAAATTCGAAGAGCAACTTTGAACAGAAAATTTTCATGTGTTTGTATATTAATATAATTATACAACGACTTAGTTACTAAAAATCAATATCAATAATAATTCAAGCAATCCTATGCCACGCAATGTGGTGCGAAATGTCTTGTCAAAAAAAAATGAGTCATGTGTTTTTTTACTGATCTATACATGAAATTATAAAAAAAACTTTTTTGCATTACTGGAATTAATTTTCGCAAAGATCCAGATTAGCTCATGATCATGTGACCTCGTTAGTTAGAGTTGGTACTATAAAATCATTTCAGCCTGGCCTTAGTATGCTGGTGACACAAAAAAGATACCAAACGTCAGGACAAATGTAATTAAAAAAACATTGAGTTTATACTGTAGTATTTTTGTTAATTTTAGGTTCATATATTTAAATTAAGTCATTTTTAGTGTATGTATTATTCTTCCCTTATCCAAAGTTTGTTCAAAAATGATTTTGATGGATGTACATAGAATTTTATGATTTTTTGTAATAAATACAGTAACTTGCAATAATAGTGGAATGCAAATATTAATATGTAATTGCATTTGAAATTAAAGAAAATAATGAAACTTAATGCAACTGATTAGTTGCACCTCAACATATGTCACAAACTAAAACTATCTTAAAAATATCTTTCAAGTATACATTATCAAAAACTGTTTGCGGCCCTTTTTACAATTTCCAAAATGCAATGCGGCTCTCGAAAACCCATGAGTTTGACACCACTGATCTATTCTAGACGATTCAAGCATTGCTTTGGGAAATAATATCACTTCAATTAAATTGAAAAAAACCTTGCTATATTAAATACAAAAACGTTACTATCATAAAGGTAAACTAATTCAGCCACTCGAAATATATTGGCCTTCACAAAGCAATGGAGGCAAAATTAAGAGTTCATGAGCTATGAACTTTTGTTCTTTTCTTTGTCTTGAACTTTTCACACTCCACAGCCGCTATTAATTTTTTTTTAATTTTAAATACCATGTGATGGTCATACATATCTTTAACTTGTATTTTCTGATGATGTGTCAAACTATTAATTAGTGTGCATATTTTGCTTCCAGATGACATAAATGTATTGTCTTGTTTATTACCTCAGCTTGGAGTATTGACAAAAAAAGAGGTGCCAGTAAATTACGTAATTTTTTTTTTAACTCTTTGTTATAATCAGAATTCACAATTAATAGGAATTATAAACAGCCAACAACCAATGAGAATTATATGCGAAATCCCTCAGAATAAATTTGTCTTCTAAAATCGGAGGAAGGCAAAAACATATAGGTAGTTTCCATTCACACAAGTCTTTCAAGAAGACTTGCTCGAGCCAAACTAAATGAGCATGGTCAGGTGATCGGTAAGGCTGCAAGTTGAATTCAGCCCTGCAACCTCCTGCATAAAAGATAATATTAATTAGTGGGCTATGAGCTGAATTCCTATATTTAAACAAACCTATCTACGAGGCATTATGTACCAGCAATGTTACCTACGATTAACTGAATATGTAATATGTCTAATTAATTCACCTACAAAAACAAGTTCGATAGGTGCAAACTTTATGTTATGGAATTGTATCACAGCACCGTTAGGAGAAGTAAAAACAGTTTTGCTGTCCTGTATGACACCCTCTTTAAATGAAATTTCAATGTTTAAGCGCAAACATTAAAATTACTAACTTTGAAATTTGTCATTATCTGCAAAATTTTCCACACAAATCTTTCCG